TGCGTAACAAGCTAATGGGAGTAGTTTAATGGTAGAGAGAATGCCAGAAAGTAGAGCGCCTCGGTGCCACGTTGAGCTCAGTTAGAGCACATGTTCATTGTTTGTTATGGACACATTTCGTATGCGCATCCTTTGTTTTGCACACTTTTTCTGTTTATCGCATTTCTACTTTCAATTCAACGTATTCTGTTGCGTTTCTATAATCCTTTCCCTCTTCCACTCCCTCATTTTCTCTCCCTTCTTTACGCTCCCCTTCTCCCTTTGTATCTGTTTCTCCTATTTATCTACCCTCTCTCTCTCTCTCTCTCTCTCTCTCTCTCTCTCTCTCTCTCTCTCTCTCTCTCTCTCTCTCTCTCTCTCTCTCTCTCTCTCTCTCTCTCTCTCTCTCTCTCTCTCTCTCGTCCCCTCCCCCGCTTTCTTGTCCTCTCGCTCCAATCTCGATCAATCTCTGACAGGGGAGAGTGAGTCGAGGGTATCTACGCGACAGAGCGCGAGCGTGACCCGCTTTTGGCAGGGCCTGCTCGACTTAATGGCGCGGAACGAGCAGGCACTGCCATGGCCACGCCGGCCGCCGGCCGCCGGCCGCGCAGCTCACGCGCGAGCTCGGCACCGCCAGAGGACGCGCCGGCCCGGCCAGGCCGCGGTCAGGCCGGCGCCAGGGCCACGCCGCCGCCCCGCGTGGCCAGGAGGGAGGTCAGTCGGGCCGCCGCCGACGACGGCCCGTCGCCTTGACTCCGTTGTTGACGAGCGGCCGGTTTTTGTTCGGCTGCCTCATGGCGTGCAGGTATCTTCGGACGGCGGCGACGTGTTGAGGACGTTTGATTGGAATTGCCCGGCGGTCAGTGGTATGACCACAAACGGCATCACTTTTTCCCCCTGTCGAGAGATGTTGAGCAAGTGCATTATCAGGACCCACTCTATCTAAAAAAAGCGAGCCAACCATATTGAGGCCGAGAGGAAAAGCACCATCAGCAAAACTGCATTGATGCTTCCAAAAGTGCTACTTGGAACGAAGCGGAAAGAGGCATAGGTAAAAGGCGCCTTTCCCTGTCAAGTTCCGCCAGACCAGCGTCAACGGAGTTCTTCGCATGGCCTTTTGATAGGTTGTTAGGACATCCACCCATTGTTAATTTGTCATGTCCTGGCTTCACAGCAAATGATTCTCAGTCACCCGTGTTTTCTTCTCCTTTACTGAGGTTCCTATTAAATAAATCCCCAATGAAGTAAGCTTTAACGGCTTAGTAACGCTCCTGATTGGATGGCCTTACCACGCGCCCGTGCTGAGTAAACGTTAACCTCATGCCCACATCACTCTGGGTCATCTCTGTCCGTCCCGCAGATAAATTGGTGCTCATAGAGAGAGAGAGGCGTTCATCACGATAAGCAGCTTTCACACCTCGTGGTAGCCGCACAAAAGGGCACAGGGAGTTTATCTATCATGTACCTGACTGGCCCAACACACATTTTGAAGGGCTAATCAAACAACGAAGCCCACCCAAATCGTAACCTTTCTGTACCAAGTCTGGGACCCAGTGCATCGATCATCTGGCCGTCGTGTGAAGCAGTATGGTCTGACATCGAGAGACACGTTACGCAACAGCCTTTCCGCCTAGCTCTCCTGGGCTCACTCTGAAAAACTGGGCGCCGTTCACGGCGGTCAACGCAACGCACAGTGTATCTACCATTTTTTATCCCACAACTTACGCTGGAAACAAAGGGAGCGCGCGCTGAGGCATGGAGCACACGCAAGGCGAAGGTCTTCGAAGTAACGAGCGAAACCTGCCACAAGCGTACCGCCAATCCGACCGCGACCTCGGCGGAGGCAGTGGACCGTGTCATCGACTCCCGCTGGAGCGCCCCCAGCGGCGGTGTGGCGCTGGGCCTGCCTGGGGGCAGGCGCTGTGCCGCGCGGGAGATCGGCCCCAGGGCCAGTCCAGGCGGCGTGGCCCAGCCCCGATGGCTTGTCAGGCACCAAGAGGTGGGGGAGGGAGTAGGTATGCACATGACGGGTAGAGTAGCTCCGGCAAGAGCGTGTTTGACATCCACGCGGGAGGCCCAGGCTGTAACGCCCATGTGACCGCCGCATTGATACACGCCCATATACACTCCATAGCGAGTTGCACCACGACGCGCGCCGTACAGCCCCAAACACAACACCAATAGTGGGTTGAAATTAGATCTGGGGGGAGGTTCCGAGCACTGAACAGGATGACCAGCGACCAAACCAAAAACAAAATATTGAAGCCTAGCCGCTCCCCCCCCCCCCCCCCCCCCCCCCCCCCCAATGAATCCGCTCTTTGTCGGGTGCTGCGGTCAGTAAAGGGCTGATTCTTGCCTCGCATTGTCAGTGACAGGCTGCTCATGTACCTTGAGCATGTACCCACACCATTCCATGCATTGTCCGCTATTGTTCGTTTTTCATCTCTGTTCTTGCTTTGGCATTACGGAATTTCGGCAACGCAACGCTTTCTGCAATCATGTGTTTTTGCCCTTTCAATCGCTTTCATATGAGTGCAAGCATCATCCTTGACACACACGTCCAAAAAGCGTCCAAGTTTCTGTCATACGAACGTTCGCCACGTTGACCTACAACCGAAGATTCAGCACGCTGGGTCGAGCCGGGTCAAAAGCGCCGGTTTCTCGGTCAAAAGCTGCCCCACAGACCGTGATGGTGGTGCGTGTCGCCGTGACCCGGGCAGGCGCTGGCCGGCGCCGTTACGCGGCTCGCCGCGGCCGACGCCTCGTTACTGGCCAGGGTCACGCCGGCGCCGGGTCAGCGGCGTTACGTCACGCCCGCCGTCACGCGCGCCGAGGGCGGCGGCGTGACGCGACGCGACAAAAGGCGCCCGGCCGGCGGCCAGGCGGAGGGGCGGCGGCTGTGATACAGCTCACCGGTGGCCGCGCCGCGCTCTCTAACGCCCCGGCGAACGCAGCGTTACGCCGTCGCTGAGCAAGGCTGCTTACCCGCAACCGAGGTTATTGCTTACGCCTCTCATGTGAAGTCGCCGCGACTGTTTGCGTCGTGCATTGTCCCTTGGGTCATTTGCAAGTGAATTATTGCGGCGCGTCTTATAGACATTTTTGTGTGGCTGGCAACCCGAGCGTCACCATGATGTTGGTGGTGACGTGATGTAAGATGATAATGATCTTATATCATGACATTGCCTATCATAACCGAAATCGTGCCATCGAAATGGTGTCACGGCCGCCCGCCCTTGTGCGCAAAGGATGAACGCTCCCGTTTTGGAGGTTTTTAGGATCGGTGTCCGATTTCACCATCGGGGCAAACGCAGACGTGGAATCAGCTGCACTGTTCAGACAAATGTACAAACTACACCTTGGAAGGGATCTCAGAGTTGTCCGGGCTGTAGGTGCGCCGGAATTGACAGGAAAGCGACCACGGTTTGAACCAGCTTCAAAAGTGATGTAAAACATCTGACAATGTAGCCTAAGCCAAGATATGTTGAGCCGTGCAATATTACAAAGGCGTGTATCCTCGTCAATTGTAATCTGAACATAACGAAAAATTTGCGTTTCTACACTTATTTGGTAGCGGTTGGCCGGATTGTAACACCATTCAGAAGTTCTCGATTTGATAATTTCTCCCGTAAATTTCACATCAATAGACCACCTCTGCCTGTTAAAATACCTGGAAAGGTAGACTTTCTAACGCATTGGCCAACCGAACTGGCATGGGGTACGGATGGTGTCTGGCTCTATTAGCTTAGTTTTTTGCATAATCCAGATAAAGGTGGCGTCAGCTCTCACTTGTGTTAGGGCCACGCCCGTCCAACGCCGCACAGGTCGGCCTCTGGGTTTGACATTATGCGTGTTACAAAGCAAATAATATGCGTCAAGCTGTTGTACAGATCGAACATGTCATGCATGGATATACACATATTCGTGCTTTATTACTGTTTTGCACTTGTATAACAGTGGGTCTGGATTATGACGCTTCTGCATTGTGTTTGCGCATAGGCATTGTGTTACATGCATCCTTGATATGACAGGAAAGAAGACAAGTGGAAAAAGGAGAATGGAGAGGGCATGAATTGCCGTATTGGTTGTCACCTTCAGCTTTCAGATATGATGATAAAGAGTCGCAAACAGAGTCGTTTGATATAAATAGCCATAAAACAGACAAAAGCATTGTTCCGTGCAAAATAGAATTGCTTTCGTGCGCTTTCAGCTCGCTACACAATAACAATGCCTGAAATTTTTCAAAACGTGGTGGGTAATTCAGAGCTTCGTCCTGCACGATCATTTATCCTCAAACCCCATCACCAGGTTGGACAGGAAACACTGACATGGATAGAGAATACTGGCAAGGCAGGTGTGACCGCTGCTTTACATTCTTCCATTGGCATGCTAGCAGTGCTATAATTCTCTAATCGGAAGATCGCGTTCTGGTCGGTTCACCGCTCCAGTGTTCGTCATTGTTCTCCATCCTTGCTCACAGCAAGTCCTCAGTGGTCGTTACAACATCGCACATCAGCATTTCCATCTGTGTTCAACCATTCCAAAGTACTGAAGGAGATGAAACTGTACATTACACAACAGCCTGAGTTATTGTGCAGTTTGGGGATAAGGGCTTCATGGACGCTCTGGGCTAGGAGACATCTTACGCTGGTCGTGTGACGCCTAGCCTTGGAGCGATGCTGGTGTAAAAACGGCATGCTTACTCGGCCCTCGTGAACATGAGTCGCGATGGCATGAGTAATGAATGTCTGTCACGCTAGAACACACACAGCGTAGGAGGCAGCCTGCCTCACACCAGAGATCTCGCCATTGATCACCATAGCCGTGCCTGGTAATTTTTAAAGTGGCCAAGCCCGTCATAATCTCCGCAATTTCTGTTACAGCGACCTGCGTTATTTTCTGTTTAAAATACCTCGAATATGGATGTGTGAATAACGTTCCGAGCGCGTGACCTGTTTCATCACAATCTCACGCCAGCACGCGGGAATGAGTCGCACACCACGGCGGCTGTCGTAACTCACCTGGTGATTTTCTTGCCGCCGAGCTTGGACGGCCGCTGGAGGGACATGGTCCAACCGGAGCGGCTCATGGCGACTTGTGTCACGGCTACTCACTCTCACTGCACTGAACCTCAACGTCCACCGACCACAACAGCCGACGAGAACCGGCCGTCACGGAAGCCTCAGCGCTGTGCGGCGGTCCTCCGTCATTCAAGACGCATCGGCACGGTCCGCTCCCAACTCCCGAACACGACACTAACACCGTCGGCGGCGCGGCGAGATGTCTTCCCGCAGACGCCTGCTGCGTTGCAGTCTCCCGACTCCGCGGCTGCGCCGCCGCACTCTCCGGCGCCCGGCGCTGGTGTCTGCGGCGGGCTCTGTCTGACGCCAGGTACGGGCGCCGACCTTGCAGCCGACGAAGCGCCTGAGGCGGTGCGTCCCACACCGCTTCTCCTGACCGACAGAGGGCGGCGTTAGCAGCGCCAGGTGACCGGATGCGACCGGGCGGGGGCGTCGGCCGACCTTCGTACGCGGAGCGGACGCGTTGGCCGCCGTGACGGGTTCACACGCTTTCTCGGCATAGCGCAGGTCGATCGGGACTAATTTGTCGCCGCCGATACCACACGTCCATCACGCAGCGCGCGCACGGCGGCCTCAGTCACGGTCAGCCTTGTAAACACACAAAGGCTGTGTGGTAAACGCATTGGCTGCGTTTCGTGAAGTGAAAGATTGCGTTGAATACCGTCAAGCTTACGAAGCCGCAGATGAATAATAAAAACACTTTTCATTCACCAGCACCTGAAATAGCCAGGGCATGGGCGGTTTGACGTCCGCTTATGCCGTTTTTCGCGACGGTCAGGAATAGTGTGCTGAATCTTAACTTGGCTAAACCTAGATTTTAAAATGCAATGTATTGCTTATCAAGTCGTGTTTTAGGTCAGATCTGGGAACGAAACTGCAGGACACTCGACGTCTTTAAACGCACACCGATGTGCATCAAAGTCCGTGAGCTCAGATACTATGGCAATGTTTTCGGACGTTAAAAATATCACCGCACTGGCCCGGCATAAAAAAGTCGCAATAGGTATGGTTGTGTTAGTAACGGTGGCAAACGACTAATATTTCATGCTACTTTAATGCATTATGCTACAAATGTGACGCCATCAATAACAATTTTACCTTGATCATCTCGAACACAATTCGTCTTCGCAGAAGCTCCGATTGTCTGGTAGCAAATAAGATCCCAGTTTGGCCAAGATAGTTCGCTTTCATAACACCGTCAGGAGGACCAGCGGGGTGGATCGCTCGGATCACCCTCTTCAGTATGCTTATTGGGACTGCGTACCAGGGTACAGACTGTGTCAGACGCTGGAGGCAGTGGGCCGACGGCCGACACTGGGGCTCAGACGCTGGAGACGGTGGATCGACGGCCGACACTGGGGCTCAGACGCTGGAGACGGTGGATCGACGGCCGACACTGGGGCTCAGACACTGGAGACAGTGGACTGACCTCCGACACTGGGGCTCAGACGCTGGAGACGGTGGACCGACGGCCGACACTGGGCTCAGAGGCTGGAGACGGCGGGCCGACGGCCGACACTGGGGCTCAGACGCTGGAGACGGTGGGCTGATGGCCAACACTGGGGCTCAGACACTGGAGACGGTGGACCGACGGCCGACACTGGGGCCCAGACGTAACCGCTGTGGGCCGCAGGTACTGGGGAAGACAGGCACTTGGGCTTGGGTAGGACCTCCTTGTGTGGGACCTAAAGACACTGGAAGTCAGACATCCTCACCGAGGTAGGAGCTTCTGAAGTGACATAAGCACCCAGCGATAGACGTTCGTCCTTTTGAACCCAGCTAGGTTAGTAAGCTAACCGGGGACCTTTCCAATTCCCAACTCATGTGGCTGGGATACTTCCGGTTTATCTTAGTAGTGATTCAGCCGATTGCTTCATTCAAACGGCTATTCGCAGCCATACGCGCACGTTCGATTTCACAATGAAATCGGAAGGCACAACTGGAGGATTTTCCCTGAAAACCAAATTTGGCGCGCCGCAGGCACGCTCAACGTCTGGTGTGTTGTAAAATAGCATCGCCTGTTTTCAATCTGCTTATTTTTACATGTTTGTCGCAAATTTTTGCCCGCTTACATTTAGTCACTTACATGGTAATGTGTGCCATAGATTTGATAAGGGGCAACACGTTCCCCGGCGGCTGTTGTGTGCGTTTGGTCTTGTCGGTAGCTGCAGCATTATTTCGAGGGTAATTAATCGTGTTGTCTATGGCTCACTGGTACCAAGCTGCAATGCTTACGTTTAGGTATTGGAGAGGTACCAACAATTCGTAACTATATATCTATGTTGCAAACAGCATAATTAGGAGGATAATTGATAACATGATGAGGATAATTAATCGTGTTGCTTAATGCACACTGATACGAGGCCGCAAGGGTAATGTTAATTAGTAGATACGTTCCAACAATTATGCATTGTATATTTGTGTTGCAAACAGAATAGTGAGATGGTTCTAAGTAGTTGGCGTGTGGATTCATGGGTAAACACAAACAAATCAACGTTTGGCCATCGACGTTAGCTGAAGTAAGGTAATGACATGTCACGGAGTCAAATTGTGTCTATTGTTGAGGATGTGATAAGATATTTACTCGCGCAACAGTACCATTTTCCTACGAATTCCCTACAAATTCTTGAACTGGCCTTACGCTATGCATAAAATAAAAATGGGGACAAGAACTTGCCGTTCGCTCTACATTGTTTAACAATTGCAATGAAACGGCGTCATCTGAAATTAATTTCAGTTATCTCCTATCGACCTTTCTAACGTTAGTAAGTGAAAAAGCAAATCTGAGGTACCTAACTGCACTTCTGTGAGCTTGACATTGTATTTTGAACTTACGGTATTGCAAAAAAACGCTGGTATATAGCACTGAGAAATAGCACCGCCAATCACGATGTGCAAAGGTTCAGCTCTGTCACGAGCCATCTAATACTTTCATTTGAAGGTTTGCACGTTTCAAAAAAGGTTTCTCCGTTTTGAAAGTTATTCAATGCAGGAAAATCGAGTGGAAGTTGAGAGGATCTACGATTATTCAACGACTAAGGTCTCTCCCCCGTCCTCTCTCTCTCTCTCTCTCTCTCTCTCTCTCTCTCTCTCTCCTCTCTCTCTCTCTCTCTCTCTCTCTCTCTCTCTCCTCTCTCTGCTCTTATCTCTCTCTCTCTATCTCTCTCTCTCTCTCTCTCTCTTCTTCTCTCTCTCTCTCTCTCTCCCTCTCTCTTCTCTTCTCTCTCTCTCTCTCTCTCTCTCTCTCTCTCTCTCTCTCTCTCTCTCTCTCTCTCTCTCTCTCTCTCTCTCTCTCTCTCTCTCTCTCTCTCTCTCCCTCTCTCTCTCTCTCCTCCCCTCTCAGCCTCTCTCTTTGGTATAGTTCAATTCTCTTACTTGGGAATGCATGCGTAAATAAATAGGGAGATCTATTGCAGTCTTACGCATTCATCCCGGCTGATGACCAGTAGCGGGATCACAACTCGGAGCTGTTACAAGAAGCACGATCCACACCAGCACACAAAACCACGAGCCTCGCACGAGAAAACCCACCTGGCGTGCCCTCCTTTCAACTCACTCGCCTCTGCAGCGCCGGCAGACTATCACGCTTTGCCGGTGGATCCGTCCACCACCTGGCGTGGTGTCAGCTGCTGCTACCGTATCCGACGGCCGGCGCTGCAGCTGGTGCGTCTGGCGGCTCCGCCCCCCAAAGTCGAGAGATGCCGCTCCGTCAGCGCCGGACGCCAGACTACCTCTCGGGAGAGCCGCTCTCCGCTCCGTTAGCGCCGACTCCCGACTAGCTCTCCGGAGAGCCGCTCTCCGCTCCGCGGTCGGGCCCCGTCGGCGCCGATTGGGCAAGGCGAGTTGATGGCCCGGCGGGCCCGGTGAGACGCAGATACGATGCGATGCGATTTTATGTGATGCGATATGATGCGATCTGATGCGATGCAATGCAGATGTGAAATGGGAGATGCTCTGGGTCATCTCGTGTCACTGTATTTCGGGAATGATGGTCGGCGCTTGTTCCATAGCATCGCCGTCCCCTGACAATGATGCACAGTGCACATCGCTCCCTTACACCGGTGTCCCCTGGGATCGAAGGCCGATGCACATTGTCTTCTGAAACTTTGACATTGCTGTGCCCGACACACAAAGCCAGCATGCACCATTCCTAGTGCTGCTGTATTTCAGGAGCATTTCCAGCATGCATTAAATGATTTGTTCGTGTTTCGTGACTTATGATATCTGCAGAGATATCACCTATTGATATAACCCTCCTATAGAACTGACTGATTTCTCGTGATATCATCGTCTCACTGGGTGCTTGTGCCTGTGCGCGTTGTCTCCTGATGGCCCTGTGTTCTGAACTGACGTTGGCCTCCAGTATCCACTACTTCCCCCAAAAGGCTTTTTTAGAGATGGCCACCGGTTCAAATCATCCCCTGGCATTATATTAGCTTCTGAGAGGGATGGTCCATGTACGGTTGAGTATCTCGATGCTGTGTGCGGGTTACTTGTGTGTGCTACTGCCGAAGCAGGAATACGGTCAACATCTGTTGGGCAATACAAAAACCAGTGTTAATTTCAGCAGCAGCCGGGTGGCACGATTGGTTCAGAGGCTGCCTAATTCTCCGCTCCTCACTGCATGCGCCACACTGTGTTTTTCCACGCATCCCACGTGATATGCGGGACAGCTGTCCCCTTCAACATCCACGTGCTGTGTTGCAGAGCTAGCAAATATGTGCAGTTCTTCTAATGAACCTAGTAGCGACTGAAGGACATATGCTTTTCTCGATTCCCTTTACTCCCGCTGGAGCTGTACGTCATTTCATTTTGGTAGGATTACCAAACAGTGCATAAAATGGCGTTACTGGTTAAATGATCGGCGAGTCGACTTGGACCCCAACCGCTGTTTCTGTTGTTTCACACAGACGATGAAGTAACGGGTCAAACTTTAATCAATGGATCACGACAATGTGATGGATGGAATGTTCTATCCGGCGAAAGTAAAATTTCAGGTAAATATCCTCGATCATCCATTACACAACAGGCTCGAGAGAATGCAAACAAGCGTCGGGACAGGATAGCACCGTTAAACAAGCCGTCTGGGCTTATGTCAATAGTAAAGCACGTCCAAACAAAATCCAGCACGTCCAAACAAAATCCGGCACATGAACACATCCAGCACTGAACAAACGTGTGGTCACAGCCCATAGAGCCGTGAGGCACGGGTATCGGCTTCAATGTCTGGCTGGGCCTGAAGCGCAAACGACAGCCGCTGGGCACCAGCTGGCCTTGTCACACTGATCAAGTCCATTCGTTCGGCAGTTCCGCCGTCATCGCCGCCTTTCCCTCGGACGTTATCGGCGATCGGTTCAGCATCGGGCCGCGGCTGTGTTTGACAGCGCGTGGGATGCCTGCTGCTTGCTGAGATGAGACGCACAAGGCCGGCTGGCGCCGTCGGCGGACAGCCGCGATGAATCACTTTCCAGCAACTCATGTCTGGTCGTCGGAGCTAATGCCGGCAGTCTGCCCCACGCAGCTTCCGTGATGGGATGTGCGTCGATGCCTGACGGGGCTGGTGCTGGCGCGAGCGGAGCTGACTGGCTGGCCGCGCCCGGTCTAACGGTCGCCCCCAGCGGCGTGGACGCTTCGTGGGCGCTTCTCGCCCTCGGATAGGTGGCGACTTAAGCGGAAAGTGAGAGCGCACAGGGCAGGGAGCGGCGAAAAAGCGTGCCAATTATGGCGCTGCGTGAGCACGGGGACCAGCGGGGGGTAGTGTGGCCACCGTGTCGCCCGTCTGACCGGGGTCATTAGTGGACGCGCCGCTTCTCCCGCGTGCTCTCGATCAGTCTCACAGTACATTGCAATGACTCGAGCAAACAAGTACCGACACGAAACGCAAATATCGGCTGTCTCAGGACGGTGCTTACGGTTGTTTTCCATTGTCTACGCACTGGGTATCACGACCCACGAACAATGCCTGAAACTCTGGACCCGGAGACGCAGTACAAACGGCGAACAACTGTCTACAGCCTCGCTCCAATTCCGCACGATAAATGTGATGCCACTGCGAACACTTGTTCCGTGTTGTCGACCCTTGACCTGAATTGATCGTCCTAAGATCACGTCATTAACGTCATGGATTGTGCAAGGGGCATCAAACACCTTCGGTCGCCCATTGCCGTAAACATCAGGCAAACAACAGCCAAACACCAGCAGGTTCATTCACAGGGCCGATGGATTCTCGTGGCGGCGCGCTGTTCACGCAGATATATGACCAGCGTTCATTAAGTCATGCTCTTCGAATCACGTCAAATCGTTCAGTATCCGTCAGCCGTGCCTGGGCATCTCAGGCCCCAGCAGCAGGTCAGACCAGTACCTTCCAAGGGATTGGCGGGATCCTCTAAGCGGCCAACCCCGTTCACGGGAGAGGCCCTGCGGACGGACACGCTTCAATGAATCGCGCACTCTTCCTGACGCCGCCGCATAGCGCGCCCACTCTCCCAATATGATAATTCATAAAAGAAGCATCAATTATGACGGCTTTTGATGGCGGCCAGCCGCTGGCTGAGAATTAAGCAACTTCGCTGCGAACCGCCGCAGCGAGGAGGTGAGAGCGGATCCGGCACGGCCAGGCCGGATGGGGGCTGATAATCGTAGATGTGTCTGCCTGAATGAGAACAGATCGGGCGCGGCCAGGTCGGATGGGAGCTCATAATCGTAGATGTGTCTGCCTGAGTGAGAACAGATCGGGCGCGGCCAGGCCGGATGGGAGCTGATAATCGTAGATGTGTCTGCCTGAGTGAGAACAGATCGGGCGCGGCCAGGCCGGATGGGAGCTGGTAGTCGCAGATGTGTCTGGCTGAAAAGGGGTGTCCGGCTCACATGTGTTCCAGGCCTGGCAGAGCGTCAGAGGTTCAATTGCAGTTGCTGACGAGAGGTTCTGAGGCATTATCAGAGCTAGGCCTGTGTCAGCTCTAGAGAAGACTCATGTTAAAGAGGGCATCAACCTTAACTCAACATCAGGCTTAAGTGAGCGCATTTTCCAATGGAGAGCCTGTCTGGCTGATCCACAGGCCTCCCGGACTCTCAGTGCTGACCAAATGGCATCAGGCCCCCGACTCAAGCGGCTGCAGGTGGCCACGCCGGCGCCGCGGCCGTCGGCCGGCGGCTCGCTGACCCGGTCAGTGGACCGAGCCGGTTGCGCCGGCCGCCCTGCAGCTGTCGGTCGGCGCCGGCTGGACTGGGACCGCGTGCCGCCGGACGGCAGCGTGTGACGGCCCGCCGCGGGCCCGTCACGTCACGCGTCCGCCGCGCGCCGCTCACGCCGGCCCGGCGATCACGGCTGGGCGGCCGGCCGACGGCGCTCCGGGAGAGGTCGGCGCCCACATGGCCGGCCGCAGAGGCTGGGTCGGCCGGCCGACGGCGCTCCGGGAGAGGTCGGCGCCCACATGGCCGGCCGCAGAGGCTGGGTCGGCGGGACGATGAGGCCTGGGTTTGCCAGCGAGATGCGGTGGGCTCGTGCTGATGGGTCCACCGTGTGCTGCGGGGCTCAGGCCGCGTGTTGGTACGGTGTTTGGGACGCGAGGGCTTAAGGAATGCTCCTGCTGCGGATTTAGTGTCAAAACGCGGAAGGTTTGTTGTGTTTTAGATGATTATCTCTTATTGCAATTCACGCGGTCATGCTGCCGTCGAGGGATGAACACGGCCTGTGTGAACCAGACTTTAGGCAGCGTCGCAGTAAGGATGGGGCAAAAGCTTGCTTGGTATAGAGGGGGGTGTTTCGTAAAATGAGTTGCGGGGTCTGAACAAAGAAAACGACGAAAGCTGCCCAAATAATACGAAAGCTACCCAAATAAACAAATGGGTTTCCCTCAGATTTGGCCCACTTACGGATGAAGGTGGCCCAAATATCCACCCATCATCTCCACGGCCCACTTTCATCCCAAACTGAAGGGGTCTGGAGCACAAGTTGAGGGGCCTGGAGCTCTCCCCCTTCCCAGCTGAATAGTAAACTATAACACTGCTTGGATAAGACTGCAAGGTCGGGCGTTTTCAGGCTGACATGTCACCATCTCTGCTTTGATCGAGACCGCACCCAACATGGAAAATTGTTAAGTGAATGAGCAACTATTGAAGACATTAATGGTTGGTCAACAACTTTCCAATTTTCATCAGGGTGTCGACAATGCAGTGGTTAACGCGTTTGCATTGACCACTGCACGTCTGGGAAACCATAGGTACGGGGTTCGATTCCCCATGGTGTCCGCCCTTCCTGTCATTGTGAGAGGCAGGTGACGCCATACAGCCTCATCAGCTGAGTGCGCCGTAAAGCCCCAGTGCCCCTCCCCAATTTGCATGCTAGATACAGTGATAACCGAAACGCAGATGGCGACACGTAAGCCTGGAAACGCACCGCCCACCGCAAGCAGTCACTTTACCATGTCATTTCGTATAGGACATCATGCAAGCAGTCACTTTACCATGTCATTTCGTATAGGACATCATACAAGCAGTCACTCGTGATGGCGACGTCCACGAATATCATGTGAGCTGCGACTGATTTTACATGTGTGAGTTGACTGCGACCGTGTAGTTGAGAATCTAGCACCGAGACATGATGTGAGCACGAAAGGCTCCGATCTCCAGGTTTTTCGGCATTAGAAGCTCCCAGGATGTACTATAGAACGATAAATAACAGGAGGTCCATTTGTGATCATGAGCACAGCTTTAAACATCGAGTACTGAC